CTGCAGATGATTTAAGAAGTGAAACGGGTTTCCTCGAAGAGTTGGTGGTTGGAAGTGGCGATGCAGTTGAACTTCAGTGCAATACTCCGGACTCACCTGTATCTCTCCTCTGGTATAAAGACGGCGTTGGGATTTCGCCTACCAACCGGACTCACATTGGTCCAAAACTGTTGAGGATTATAAATGAGTCCTACAATGATTCAGGCCGATACAGCTGCAAGAAGAGGCATTCGGTGGAAATGCTCAGGAACTTCCCGGTCCGAGTTACAGGTGAGTCAGTAGCAATGAAGGAGAATATTTGCAACTCAAGGTTGAAATGAGGGCCCCTTGGTGCTCTCTGAGCCTGGTGGTTTTCTTGCAGATGTTTTATGACCCAACTAGGGAACATTGTTAATGTTAGAAGAGGGGGTAGGAAGGGAGGAGGAGGAAGAAGACTGTGGGGTCCTTGGTGCTCTCTGAGCTTGGTGGTTTTCTTGCAGATGTTTTATGACCCAACTAGGGAACATTGTTAATGTTAGAAGAGGGGGTAGGAAGGGAGGAGGAGGAAGAAGACTGTGGGGTCCTTGGTGCTCTCTGAGCTTGGTGTTTTTCTTGCAGATGTTTAATGTCCCAACTAGGGAACATTGTCAATGTTAGAAGAGTGGGGAGGAAGGGAGGAGGAGGAAGAAGACTGTGGGGTCCTTGGTGCTCTCTGAGCTTGGTGGTTTTCTTGCAGATGTTTTATGACTCAAACTAATTAACATCATAGCTAGCTAGCAACATCAGCATTGATGATGTTACCTAGTTTGGGTCATGAAACATCTGCAAGAAAGCCACTCTTCAGGTGAGTCACTCATGTCAGTCTTATGTCTCTTTAGTTGTGCCATTGGAGGGCCACCAATGTTTGAATTCAAACTCAAGTCTTAGTCAACGTTTGCCTTCAATAAGGGATCCCCGGTGACTCTTAGAATGGCTTTCCATATCCGGAGCCAGAGGAGGACCATTCAATCGGGTCTTTGATGGTCTTTCAATGGAACATTTGGATTCCCTCCTCTTCCAACTTGCTATTGAGGCAACCTGTCTTTCCCTGCCAGGGTGGTCTATATGAAAGACCACTCAGTCTTTCTAGCTAATTAACATTTCACATGTCCCGTGCCGGAGTGCCTGCCTTCATCCTGGCAAGATTCAGGACTCTGCCATCTACGTTTAGGAGAGGAGACACAATAACATCTGAATACAGGATCCGTTGTGGCTGTGCCAGCTGGAGATATGGAGCCTGTTATGCCTCTTCTGTTGTGATGGCCTTTTTTCTGTTGCTTCACACACAGATTTAATAGCCTCCTCAATGCTAAATTATCCTGGCAGGTTTGATGAAGGGAAAGTTTGCCTCTTATTGGCGGATTTGACTGGAGAAAAATGCACAATTGGTATTGCTTTACAGGGAAAAGGCTTCCAAGTCGTTAAATATTTACACTTGTTCAATCCGGCTGCACCACAGTTCAGATTAACCAGTTCCCTTCCCTCTTTGTGAATCTTAATCCTTTCATTGTTTCACTTTGTGTATGGCGCTTCTTGCTGCTAAGTCTGGGCTCCTTTTGACAGCCAGGTTTTGACAGTAAATAGAGGTTATTGCCGTTCCTTATGTTCGCACAAGTCTCTTGATCCTACTTAAAGGCTTGTTTTGGAAGAGTTTTACCCCAGCGATGTGAGTTGGTACTTTGGTCAAATTCTGCTTTGATCGAAAGGATTAATATACAGATTTCTTCGCACGCTCTCGGATAAAGTCGGTTTTTTCTTTGGGTGACAGTAGAATGCACTTCTTTTTATTGATTGAATGCTTTTTGGTAAGTAAAGGAGCAAAGACAAAGAAATGAGCAGGATTGGAACGGAATTACATCAATTTCATTTTCGTTTGTATTTATTGATTAGATTTTTAACCAACGTCTCCTCCAAGAATTCAAAATAGAAGCCTTTCCTTCCTCCTCATTTCTCTTTGGGAGATGGGTTGGCTTTGAGGAAGGATGGCCTCTGGTGAGCTTCAAGGCGGTGGGCGTGATTTGGGTGGGGTCTCCCGTCTGTTAGCCCAACAAGCGCACCCTGTACCACATGGGTTAATGTAATTCTCCTTTGCATCTGTAATATTTCAGCATATTAAAAAGCAGCATTCAGGAGCCACTTTTGGAAATGAGAGCATTCTCTGCACCCGGAGTTTCACATTATGCACCCTTGAATTCTAAGCTGAAATGAGTTAAATTTAAACTTACGTTCATGCAGGTTGTGGAATGCACTCCCTACCATGGAAGGAGGGCAAAAGGGATTCAGGGTAGTTGTCTGAACATGTCATTCGAATCCTCTTGTTTTATTCCCATTGCAACCCAGCAGGGATCATAAAGATATCCCACATGAGCACAGGCAAACCAAACATTCTCCAAGATACCCTTTATTTGTACATACAAACCGGTTATTTTGTTAACCTAATTTTAAGACTGTAGAGTTCATGATATTTCAAGCATTCTTTCATTTGTTTACCAGGGCAAGGCATTTTAATACGTTGTTCTGGAGGTCATGTAAATAATTATAGGGTAGTTTATTAATTTTATTAACTTGTCCATAACCTGATGCAAATAGCTTGAATAAGAAAAGTTTGAGTCTAATTGCCAAGAAACAGTGTGAATCAAACTCTTTTTTTAAAAAATTCTGCACATTTTTAAAAAGCTGCTTCAAAATCTACATGATGCAAAGTAAGATAAGAAAGTCATGTTATCCTCCCCAAAATATTTACCTGGTATTTTAAGTAGATGACCCCATAATGAAAACTCTTCATGGTAAGAGGGTCAACATTATATATTTCTATTAGTGTTTCTGTTTACAACTTATATTATTGGGCAAGTATTGAGACTGATCACCAACCCAGCAAATTCTCCAGTACGTCTTAGGAATTCAGCCTGATTAGATTAAAACTTGAGTTCTGAACTTCTTTATTCCATGCGCTCATTTTTCTCTAAACTGATTGAAAATACTCCTGTGAAATGAAAGGAGGGTATTTCACACTCTCATTTCCCCCAGAAGCTAAATTCAGTCTAATCAGATTTTTTTCTTTCCCCAAACACTTAGAAGGTACCTGGATCATCGGAATACTTCTTCTTCCTTGCATTCTTCTTCTTTAATTGCATTAAAATGGAATAAAGTCATGCTGCAGGCTTTCCTGCCTAAGCAGGGGGTTGGACTAGAAGACCTCCAAGGTCCCTTCCAACTCTGTTATTCTATTCTATTCAAATTTAACAGCTGGGAATGAGTCCTTAAGGATTTGCATTCCAAGTGAAAAGAAAAAACTGAAAAAAGAAACAAAACTTTTAATATACATAACTAAGAAAATCATTGCTACCATCCAGTGACATGAATCGGAATAGACTCCAAATGATAAAATATCGAGGTAGTACATGGACTTTAAAGGGAGAATAACTAAGCCTCGTAGTTCAAAACAAACCCTTCCTGCATTCTTTCATAGATGTGGGGTTGTTTAATTTCCCTTTCTCTTACATCTTCTTATCCTTCAGAAAACGGCACGACATCTTGTAAAAAGAGACTCCCTTGAATGTAAGGTTTATGAATTGAGGTAGGCCAACGTTAAGCCCAAGTTAAGCCATGTTTCTCTGCATTAAACCGCATTCGGCAGGCAACCGGAGGGCGGTTGAAGGGAACGGGGCTCCTCTGTTTATGAACGAAGAGGCAGAAAGGATGAACAGGCACAGATACACTTCAGTTCCTTATTGAGACAAACGACTGGGCCCCCGCATTGCATGTTCAGGCCAAGAGGGATTGGAAGCGGAGCAACCGGTAGCTTAATAGATTTGGTAAATGTTGCGAGACAAACCGGGAGCCAAATCCCATTGTTGCCGCTGAAGGGAGAAGATTTATACAATCTGAAGAGAAACCAAACTCGGAGTGGGAAGCAGAAATATGTGTCTCTATTTGCAACCCCACCTTTTCTTCAGAGCCCAAAGTCCCTTCAGCCCCGTCGCTTAAAGAAGGAGGGAGAGGCAGCATCCGGAGGGCTGAAGTCTCCGCAGGGGACTCGTAGCCCTCAACAGCCTTGAGGTCAGGACTGCAGCCTCCACCTTGACTCGTGTCAAAGCCCAACTTGATTGTTGCAGGCAGCCAAACCACCTTTGTGGACACATCTAGGATCCTCCTTAGGCATCTCACATGTAGGCTCCAAGATGCCCCCCACCCACCTTGCTTATTCAGGAAACAGGTTTTCTGCTGGGTCTGGCTGGATGTAAGGCAGCCCTGTAGTAGCAGAGGTGAGGTTTTATGGTGGATCACCCAAGTTTACCTTCAGCCAGCCAACGTTGGGGCTGGGCTGGGATTGGTGCTTCAGAATCACAGAGCTGGAAGGGGCCTCGGAGGTCTTCTAGTCCAACCCCTGCTCAAGCAGGAAACCCCATGCCACCTCAGGCAAATGTTTCCTTTCTAAACATTTAAAACGTCTTGCAGAAGGTCAGAAGGAAACGAAGGAGGACATTTGCAAGCAGGCTGCTTCCCCTCGGCCTGAGCATTGCCCTCCGAGACGGAGTGAGGAAGGTTGTCTGCCCTGGAAAATCCCTCAATTTGCCACTGGTACCCAACAGCTCTACATTTGC